GAACTTATCATGTAATTTTCTGGATATATAGCTTAGTAAGCTTATAAAAGAACGGCTTTCCTATTTCGCTGAAGTGATATACTGTCGCGGCATTTCTCTCTAAAAAAATAAGAAGTTAAAGTATGTTCCAATAACCAATGGATCGGAGGAGCCAAGTGGCTCATCATGCATTGTTCTTGAAAAACATATACAAGAACAACAAAACAACAACAAAGTTTATATAAAGCTTTAATCGGCTTGCTGAATATTTCGGCAACCTCGCTAAAATTCACGCTATTTGATCGATGGCAATTTCGTTTGCTGCGAAATACTCCAAATTTTCGGTTAAAAGAATAGCTTTTTGTATTCTTTAACTAATACTATCGATAGCTTGACCGTAATAGCTATAATTATCTTGTGGATGTACAAAAACAACCACTCGATCGGGGTTCCTAAATAAACAAGCGTTTGACTGTTTACGCGGCAATTGAAAATTTTATAACGGCTTAATTCGCTTGAGAAACGAAAAAAAGTAAACAAGGTCTGAAAACCTTGCTCTCAAAACCACAGGAATTGTTTCTGATGCACTCAACCATTGAACTTTTGTGTAGACAGGTAATTTACTTACAACTCTGCAATTGCTTGAGGTCTTTACCAAAGCTTTTTCGCCGGTTCTTTCGATTCAGATTGCCGTGGCCGCGAAGTACAACTTTTGTAGTTTTGCGGCCAAAGCCTTACACAAAACCTGTTGAACCAGTGAATTCCTACAAAATACCGCTTTCCTGCGGTTAAAATGTAAAGATAAAGCACTAAAAGCGAACTAGTTTGTCATAACTACGTACGAGGTTTAGATAAAGGACCATAAAGTTCAAGTTGTGACAGATCTTAGCTTGATTCTTATTCGCTTGCTCCTGACAGTCGATCCTGACAGCCGGTTGACTTGGAATGGCTTTCTCTAGCGCTGTTGAGATTTTCACAGGGATAGGAAAAGGGAATACCTTTTATTTCAAACTTATAAAAGGCTATAAGATTCAAGAAAAATTCATTACCTAACGAGAGAATTCCACATTAAATTTCATTTAAAAAAAACGAAATCGCACGACGAATCGCGAAGCTCGTAATCATCTTCCCAGGCGATCGCGATCTGCGATAGTATCATCGTCTTCACTTTCTTCGTAATTCACAGGGTTTTGAACTACTTTCGTCACTGTTGGAATCACTCGAGTCAAGAAAGTTGTCCTCTAAGGACTTCTTCAAGTTTGAAAAACTAACGGAGGACATCAACGCCATCTCCCCCTCGCCAACAAAAACAATGTTGTCCGAGTGTTGGCCGCCATTTTCTGCCAAAAGTTTTTTTGACAAATCTCCTCGCACGACACACGCGCGAAACTCGCGCGCCTGATTGCGTATGTATTTCTAAAAATAGCACAACTACTACAACACATGGGGACAACCCCAATACTAGAATATCTATAGAGTTACGGTCTCCGTCCCTGATTATGGCTCCTGATTTCCTGCATTCTGGAGCAAGAATTAGGGTATTTGAATAAAACACACTCCGAGCATAATTAATTTTTGGCTTTGAAAAATTAAGAGTATCAAATACATCCGTTTTTATTGACCATAAATTCATACAATAATCTTTCGATGTTTTTTAACCAGCAAACGAACCGTAATGTCTGCAAGTATGGAGGTCGTCGAGCATCGTCGAGCACATGGGCAAATCGCCCTAGTCCCCCTCATCCGTGTCTGCCATACGGTAGGAACGCCTGTGAGAATAACTGCCGCCGCGAGCTTTGCCGAGCCTTTGACTTCGTGAAGCGCATATGCAAGAGTAGCTAAGAGTAGACGGCGTTTTGTTACTTTCCAGTGGTAAAATTCATACATTATCCATGTCATCTGGAGCCCTAAAAAATCAACCCAAGCAAAAAAGTGGTAGGGCTATAGCCCTACCAGCCCCTCCCCCTCCGCGGTCCCTGTCATATGGAAACCACTCTTGCGATCGTTGCGCCGGATCGTTGCGATCATATGGAAACCAGGCTTAAGGTACGCATGACTGACGGAAGTCTATTGCCAAGTGAATTTTGATTTCGAAGGTCGCGTAGCATTGAAATCAGTGGTAAAAAAATGAGAGTGTAGATTTATGCAAACTGTAATTGTAAACTGCCTGTTCCAGTTTTCAGCCAGTAAACCCATCCGTCATTATCGTTTCCTCAAAAAAAAAAAAGGAAATGTAATGCAAAAATGCGACTAAATTCTATTAAAAACTATTTATTATAACAATAATTCCTGCTTTAGCCATTTATGGTGACTTGTATTACCTACTGCTACACAGTAGCTTACTTTTTTTAACATACACTGAACATACAAAATATCATAAGTAACGTATATAACACCAGAAGATTTTTAACACAACAATGTACTGGTAAAAATCGACCTGTGTACCTCGGGCTATCAGGCTCTAGAACAGAAAGAGATGATCTCGTCAGGAGCATATGCTCCTGTCTCGTGTAATATCAATTTAATTACAGCTGTAAATATTCGAAATTACTTTCTTTCTAGCTTTTCAATACCATTGAATGCATTTCTCATATTTTTTGCATTGAAATCTCGTGCGGGTTTGTCACGTGACCTTAATTATTTAGCAACATTCCCGCGAAAACCGCGGGCGTCGTCAATTTGTGGAAGTTGTGTTCCTACGCAGGAGGTACTAGCTGTTTCCCGGAAGTATAAATGGGGACACTGGTGAGGAATCGTTCATGGCCCTCGCAGTACAACAGTTCATCGATTTCGCTGGCACAGCATGATTCATGTAGGACTGTAAGTCTGTAACCCTACACTACCCTGTGATTTGTCAAGTAAATCTTTATAAGCGTCTGGAGGAAAGTCGTCATCTTCATCATCTTGATTAAGTTTTTCCTTTGACGCACGCAGGGCCTTTTTCGAGGGTTGGCGTCGCGAGGACCCGGGAGTACTTTGCGCGGAGGAGCGTCCACGGTCCTTTTTCGTTGGGCTCGACGACGACGACTCGTCATTAGGCTCCTCTCCTTTGAGAGCGTCCACCGGACTCAGTCCCCTCGCGGCGTTGAAACAGAAGCAGAATATGATGCAACACAACAAAGCAAACAGGTTGAGGAAACCGAGAGCCAGACCCACCCCTCCCACCACTTTCATTTTGTCATCGTATGCGAAATTTAGACCCGTGCATCCTAATATATTGATGAAGTCCATGGGGTTCTTGGTATCCATATCGTAACCGCAATTCTCCGTTGGGTACTTACAGCAGGAGGTCGGTACCCGGTTGTTTTTTCCCTGGGGAAACAAGAAAACAACCCATTAAAATATACACACACAAAAGTAATCTATACAGGGATGCATGTAAAGAATGTCCACTTAGGGTAGCCACTGACTCGTCCCCAGTCGTCTCTCTTGTCAAGAGAGACGACTGGGGACGAGTCAGGGGTAGCCAGGTGTTTGCTTCAGCGCAATTTAAGTCGATAGCATGTATACATCAAAGCTTTTTGAGAGGTATCAGCTACTAACGCACATGAAAATGGACTACAGTCAACTCGTCTCTCAAAGGGGACATCACTGTAAGGCGGACACCTCTCTAAGGCAGACATGCATATGGCTGGCTGGTCCCGTCCGAATCTCACTTGTTTGTCTGTAACTAAACTCTCTTTAAGGCGGACACCTCTCTATGGCAGACAGTGGACACTTTTTATAAGCAAAATTCTGGTTATCATACTTGCGATAATAACCCCAATCAAAAGTCTTGTTCCAGTTCTGACGTCACATATTTCTAGTGCCAGGTTACATCAACACTCTCTCTAAGGCAGACAGACAGCAAGAGCTGTCCCGACGGTGCCCGCCTTTGAAAGAGTTCACTGTACTTGGTCCAGTTTCTCGACCCTACTTTTCCAGGATAGTCTGCTATTTTAGACATTACCCGAGGTCACCATCTTGGAAGGAGAGCCTTGATACAGAAGGAGGGAGGGGGAAGGTGAGAGGGAGGGGTGGGGTGGGGGGGTATTACAAACAGTTAAGTTATACAGATTTTTGAAACTGTCGAGGGCTTATTTATGTTTAAACGAGAGGGGTGGGGTGTAATAGAGTCTACGTTATTTCAGCTTAAAGAGATCTGTTTCACAAACCTGAGCGGACGCCCATTTTGAAGTAAACCAATCACGATAGTCCAATATTCCACAACAGGCGTAATTCCGCTGGATTTTATCGAAGGCCTGTGTGATTTTCGCGTCCATTCCATACTCGGCCATCATTTGCATTCCATTGCTGAATTTATTTTTATTCACGTTCACTTCACTCTTCATCGTGAAATAAACGATTGCCATTATGAATTCCACCAGGAATAGTATGACGAATAAAATAGCCAACAGCGTTAAGAGTCTGTTGTTTTCCTTCGCTATGGCAAAGAAGGATAGCGCTGTCACGAAAAGGAGGAGTAATAAGAGGCCGATTCTAAGTCCATAGCTCACGGGGAAGGCGGCCGCTTTCAATGTAAGGTAGTCTCCGAATGGTGTCGGTACAGTGATAGCAAAAATGATCAACGATAGCCCAGTGAGGAAAAACAGAGTCAGAAATCCCAGGATAGACCATTTTATAATATTTTTTGCCTCCATGCTGCTTTAATGCTTTCCTTGATATCTAGAAAGGTAAAATAAAACGGAAAATGTTAGGATAATTTGGTAAGCTGTAGCACGGACACCCATGCAAGCATAATCTGAGACGACAGACATTTTGCAGATCTCAACAATAATGGTAAGTGTTGCAAGACATTGCTCAATGGCAATTACCTTAGATTCACTAGAAATTAAAAGGAGTCTTCACGAGCCTAGTGGCCCACAACTTCCGAAGCTTATCCAGGTTTCTGTCGCATGAAGCCGACTAGGAGTATTGCTACTCGCCCTGGATGGGATGCTAGTCCAACGCAGGTTACCCACCCGAGCATTTTGTCGCCGGTACTCATTTATACTCCTGGGTGGAGAGAGGCACTATGAGAGTAAAGCAGCCAGTGCTCGAACCCGCGGACCGCTCGGTCCGGAGTCCAGCGCACTAACCACTGATTAGGCCACCGCGTCTCCCACAGATTCACTTGAAAGAGGATTCGGAATTCACGTCAACTGTGAGCATTCTTCCTTTTCCTTGAACTACATGACACAATAGCGATAATGGTTTGAAGCAGAAGATACTCGCTACTCGAACGTACGATTTGAGCGCCAGCGTGAGAGTACGTGCTCGCATTCTAATCACCTCGAGCTCGGCTACTGTTCTATGTAGGTACGTTCCCCAGAGTGGATTAAAATATCTTTGGGTGCCTGGGCCAACGCCCATCTTCTTAATTGGCCAACGAGATTTCATTTTTTTTCATCATTTTACAATTCTATTTTATACCACACTGCACTACTCTGATCTCTACTCTAGCCCCAGTAATTCAGTTGATCGCCCGATCAACGATTCCAGACCACCCCCCATTATTTTTACCAAGACTCGAACACAAGCTATTTACTCAAAACTCAAATATAGAGTGAAACAGACCGTGAGTGCAGGGTGCAGAGTGAGTGCAGGAGTGTATAGCCAAAAAGGATACAGTAAACACAACACGTTCGGACACCTGCCGAGAACAGTTCAGACTCCCTTACTCATGTCACTGGGGCGATCAAAGGTAAATAATTCACCAAAACCTAAAAACTCCTTTTGAAAGTGTTGTTTCCCATCAATATCTTCTCATTTCAAACTGAGAACCAATAGCAACTCAGCTAGTCCATGGCAGATTCTTTGACATATAACAGACTCGTGTCGATGAACAATGATAAAAGTATTACCGTTGTTTGTCTTCAATCTTACCTCAGTTTAAAGCCCTGCTCTTTCATCCTTGAATCCCGATCTTCTATCGTTAACCTGTTAGCAATAATCTCTTATCCATCCTTTCCCCTCGAAATATATTTTAGTCTGCGTAATAAAACTACAACACAATGATTATTTGTCTCGTCAATCCGACGTGATTTCAATCCGCCATATTTTTTCTAGAAGATCATTCAATTTTAATGATGGGTGGAGAGATTTCGGACCCGGGGACAGGTCGTAGAAATTCTCATGTTTACTCGTGCGTCACCAGTTGTTTATCACCTAATTTGCTAAGTAAACCGTTATTGATTATCTTCCAGGTGTTAATGTGTACGAAGGGCTAATAGCAACCGACAACGGGTACCTGCTATTCTTGACACCAAGTCAAGAACATTTCTCAACAAAGTTAGAAGTACAAGCGCTTAACACAAGATTGTGTAAATATATCTTAGACATATTCTAAGAACCAGTTAGTTTTCCAAACATGTCTGATGAACGCTTGTGGCTACGTATACCGTGGGTGAAAGGAAACTGCGAGCGAAGACTGGGAACCGACTGGGAACCGCGCGAAGACTGGGAGAGAGAGAAAGGGGCGACGGAAAAGGAATGTCTTTAGGCTCCGTCGCCTATTTCTCTCTCTCTCAGGCTTCGCGCGGCTCGCTTTCACGGAGCCTATTCATAGGCTAGGCTACGTACTGAAACTTATATCATTACCATGGAGGTTAACCCAATCGAAAGACTGGAAATAATGCCGACCGTTACATATTGAACGGTATATATCGGGATTAGCATAACCAAGTGGCCGACTATTGGCAAACTCGCAATCTGATTGGCTGCACAGGCATCTACTATCGATCGATAGAAGGCTCTTGGAGCTCACGCACATTTTTTCCTGCATTACGACAAAAAAGTCGTCAATAAATCAGTTTTATCGTTTTTCTCTGTTTAAAAGATCAGCCACTGGGTTATGCTAAAACATTTAGACTGCTCGCTCTGTTTCTATCGACTTTGATAGTTGACTCGGGGCTTCGCCCCTCACTAACTATCAGCCGATAGAAATCTTGAGCTCGCAGCATAAGCAATGGTTCTCAAACTGAAGGCTGTAATGGTAGGGGGGAATCTCCTTTATCTTTCGCGCGCGCATCTAATTCCTTTCCATCCTCTCCCTCATTCTTGAACCCACATCTCGCCGCGATGGTATACCAACGCAAAACAGTCGGGAGAACAAGTACCAGTTGATGGCGAAACCCGTCCCCGAGACAGGACTGAGCCCGCGATTTCGTCCCGACGTTGCTAAGTTGCTCGCGCTGTTTCTTGATTGGATAATAACAATTGGAAACACTTTGCTCAACGAAAATTTGCCAAAAACGGCACTTGTTCCTCCGACTCAGTGAAAAGAAGCAACTCATCACACTTATACCTTTACGACGTCGCGAGTGATCGATTTGTATTTCCTCTTAACCTTTTTATAACGAATGTTCACCTCAGCAAAACAGTACTGATTTGACACCAAATTCTCCAAAGGGCAAATATAGAAAATGTATGAAAATTGGTAAGGAGAATTAAGATGTTCACCGTGAGTAAAAGAGTTTATGATCTCGGTGATAACAGTGTAAACCGTCCAGTAAACCGTGAGCGCTAGAAATATTTCTGGAATGTTTGTCGTGTTGCGACCAATCAGAGGAGGGGGATAGACGCTGTGGCCCAATGGTTAGCGCGTTGGGCTCCAATTTTCGAGAGGACCAAATTTGAGCGGTGGCAACGGAAGTCGTTAACTGACCGGCGAACTCAGTGTTAAATGCTCGGGGTAAATCTGCGATGGACTAGCATCCCATCCAGGGGGGAGAAGCAATACTTCTAGACGCTTTGCTTAGGTGTGGGCCACTTTTGCTAGAGTGGAAACTTTATACTTTACCTAGCAAAGGCAGAATAAAGCTGCAAAAACAAACCGCGAGTAATTAAACACACTCTGTTCAGTAATGTACGTATTCAAGTTTCGAATGTGTATAAGTGAAGAATAACTGTGAACAACTTTACCAAAAGCAGGGCCTGGTTGTTCAAAGGGTGGATAACGCTATCCACCGGATAAATCACTATCCAGTGGATAGCGTAGTTTGTTTATCCACTGGATAGCGATTTAACTACCCTTTGAAGAACTGGGGCCAGATGTCGAACTGAACGTGCTGAAGTTGATTCGTGACTAAAGTTCAGATTAATGCGGTTTCGCCTAGTCTCTGATTAATAGCCACTAATCATACCAGAAATGATATTTCTAGCGTTTAATTAAACGGGTTTCACTGCCTTACACGTACGGACAACCATGTAAACAAAATATAGTTACTTTATTTACTATTATCTCCAAAAAACGGAGACATGTACTTGCCAGTGACTTCACATAAGTATTTTAACACGTTCCTCCATGTATAAATCATAAGTACGAATGAAAAGTTGTTTAAAAAAAACCTGAATATAACTTAATTAAGTAAAAAACGGTATTTTAAAATTTTAGCATTGTAAAATTAAACCTTTATCGTGATTGGTCGTCAGCGCGTGCTTGTGCGAAAAGTGTACGTAAGAATAAATCATTATTTTAATACTCAATATTAATACTTTGTTTTCAATTCATTCAGGAAACAAGGAGTACAATTTTAGAGCAGTTGGACCCAAGACAACTGCTGATTCGTTCGTGTAAACGCGCAAATATTCGTTATTAATATCGGTGTGTTTCGGTGTGAACGTAAATTATATTTGTACCCGAACAGCCCATAAACGGTTAATAAGTTGCTACCCATTTCAACGGTACATTTCCGCAAAATATATAAAGGGATATTTTTTTTACTCGCACTAGCCCGAAGTAAATTTTAGTTCGACCATATATGGGAGCCTGTATCGTTCCCAGACTCCCCTGAGACCAGAATTGTCTGCGGAGACTGGAGCCAAGTTGTCTCGTTGTCTCGTTGTCACACGACCATCGAATTTCTCTCCCACGAGGACTGCTCGCGTCAGAGCAGCCTTGGATGTGTTGATCTGAAGTATTTATCTCCGCTTTCGGTGCTTCAGTCATTCCCTTCACTACTCTCGCTGATTTCCTCATAAGCGTGGCAGGCAGCAGTGTAAACTGCATGTCAGATGACAGTGGCAGACCAACCTCTAGGTGAAGTAGCAGCGACTCGAGCCACTTTTCCAGGTCACAAAATTCGGGTCTGTTTCAAAAGGACAAAATATTTCAGTAAAACGAATTAATTACCTGCTCCAATCCAATGAATCGGAGGAGCCAAGTGGCTCATCAATGCCGACGCGTAACTGTGGTTTTCATAGCATGAAGTGACTAGGAGTATTGCTATCCCCCCTGGATGGGATTCTAGTAAACCCCAGAATTTTTGTCAGGTTGCCCTGACAACTCGCCAGTACCCATTCATGCCTCTGGCTGGAGAGAGGCACTGAGAGTAAAGGCCCGATCAAACCTCAACAACCTCTCAACATTTCAAGAACAAAATAAATGTTGTGACGATGTTGAGACAAAGTTTAAATGAACTCAAACTCGTCTCAACATGTCACAACACCTCTCAACATTGTTGTGAGGGGTGGTCAAACGGTCTCAACATCGGCTCACAACAAATGTTGAGACAAATGTTGTGACCGTTTGATCGGGGCTTAAAGTGTCTTGCACAAGAACACAACACAGTGACCCCGGCCAGCACTTGAACCGCGGACCACTCGTTCAGTAGTCCAACGCGTCTCCCACATAACGTTGCAATCGGTCAGTTTCCGAATACAGTAGTCGGAAACTCTGACCAATTGCAACAGAAACAATGTGTGTGTACCATGAACACGCTATGAACAGTACAGCAACATTTACTACACCTCTTATCGGAGTCCAAATCACAGCAAAGGAATGCTATTCTGTAAAATAGCTCGGGGCATTCCTCGCAAAACTCTTGGCAGAATTTCTCCTCATCTAAGCCAAAATTCTGTTAACAGGTAAGAAATGATAAAACTTTCAGTTAAAAAGCATCAAAACGTTTTCTGGAAGCGGTAAATATTTTCCGATAAATATTAACCTCCTCCGTTCTCAAGAAAGGGAATTTTACCTTCATTTTAATTGAAAGAAAGGATGGCACATGTTACATGTACAGTCGGAGGAACAAGCACCAATTTTGGCAAATCTTCGTTGAAGCACTTGTAGAGTTTCCGAATCTTATTATCCAATCAGAAACGAGAGCGAGCACTCATA